TTTCTTTCCTTCTTGCTCTCGGCAAAGGCGGATGCTTTTCCCTCCTGCTCCTTCCATGCTCTGCTCTTTGTCCTGTGAACTTTAAATTCACCGTCTTTGCTGGCCTCCACAGGCATATGTCTTTATGTCACCAGTATGTTTATATTACTTTTTTCTTTTGCTGAAGTTTTTTTTTTTTTTTTTTGCAACAGGACACAGTGTGAGATACGATTTTTTTTATACCTCCCATTTCCTCATGATTTTTCCCTTTTTCCTTATCTAAACGAAAAGGGCAGCGCGTCACACGAGGCTGCAGCCTCAGGCATTCCTGGCTCTATGTTGTTTTCTTTGGACGGCTGTACTGAAATATAATTTTGTTGTGCTGCTATGCAATGACGGTAAAGGTTGATTCTGATTCTGAAACTGTTACCTCTTCTATAATATCCCCGTTTACAGCGGTGAAGTCCACCGAAGTGGGATACGGTTCCTTCTCCAAGACCGAACCACATAATTTTAGTTTTCTTGGCATTTAAGGACAAAGTCAGAAAAGACTTGCTGGATTTCAAGAAAACCACATGCAAGGGACTTCACAACCTCATCCAGAGTAGAACCAAAAGCATAAAATAGTGTCATCGGCATATAAATGAATGGAGGCCTAACTAACAGAATTGTTTATAAATATGGAGAAAATAACTGGACCAAGAATGGAGCCTTGGGGTACACCTGACGTAATTGGAAGAAACTGTGATGTATGAGAGTCAACCTTCACTAATGAAGATTATGGATGATTCCTGGCAACCAAGGATGCAACCGGTGACTGAGGATATGCTGAGTCACTGGTTGCTATGGTGATTATCACATTTTTGGGAAAGCAGAGAGGGAACATGAACTGTGAGTGGCAGAAACATATGGTTTGGATGCATTTACATGTTTTCATCTATAGTAGACATGACAAGTTAAAAAGACCTTCAGCTTTACGTTTTAAAATGAATATTCAGAACTTTGATGTAATAAGAGTCGGTGCACGCTGCATTTATGGGGGATTTAGGAGACAACCAAAAGTCCTATAACAGTAATAAATCAAAATGCCTGCTATTTGATGTATAAACTATGTAAGGAATATAATGTTTGAGAGAGCAGGACAAAAAGCAAAAACTTCATAATTTTTCAACAGCTCTAAACGTATGTGACATCATAACACTCCAAGTGAAACACTCTAAAATCTCCAAAAATCATAAAACTTAACTTGTGACTATTTGAAACCTGCAAAAGAAACCAAAACATTTTTTTTTTTTTTTTTTTTAAGTCCAACTTTCTGGGACCTGATTAAACTTTGATTTATGTTTTTTTCTGTGAAATATGCCTGAGCTGTACAGCTTCCAAAAGGGCTGAGTTTTCACACTTGTGTTGCCAAAAGCCCATTCATTGTTCTGTACGTAAAAAGGTTTTTGCAGTTCTTGCTAAATGATCTCTACACAGTACAATATACTGCCTCTGAACCTCGTAACTGAGCTGTGATGGAAACAGAAGAGCGGTGCTTTGACGCTTGTCCATCTATAGAAACCTTAAGGCGTGAGATTTGCAGATTTTGCGTTTCACTGGCTTTCGGAGCATAAATCTGTAAGAGTAACGGAGGCTTCGGTTATATTTCCTAAGACATACATCCGTGCCTCTCATCATCAGAAAACGAGACATCAAACTAGGTTTTTAAACTGCATGGAGACGTGCAGCTAATGTTCTTCATCCCTGACAGAAACCACGATTGCGTTGAAGAAGACAATAAAAAGAGCAAGCTGAGAAGCGTACACACTGTTACTCCTCGGTGTATCCTTACAAAGTGCAACAAATTAGAACAAGCTGGTCTACAGCAGCCTTTAACAATACATCGCAGAGATAAATGAGTCATGGCTTCAACAAACAAACAGGTGTGATGCCATAAACCGGCCCCCGCCTCGAAGACGAACAGCAGCAGGACCACAAGCCGAGACCTTCGGTGAATTCAAACGATGAGCTCAGATCCAGAAAAGTGTCGCATACTGAATCACTTACTGCAAACCTGCCGTTGTAAAAACACAAACAAAGGCTTTCAGAGGACGACAAACATGTGCCCATCATTAACGCCCACAATTAACTCATGAGTCAAGCATCCAAACAACAGCGAGAAAGGTGAGCAAATGTCCATTAGGTCACCTAAATATTTGTTTTACAATCTGAGTAAAACACTTGTTTCTTGTCATAATCTCTGAAGCGCCTGCTGATTTAATGACACCCACAACAAAATGTACGAAGAGCCCAACAAAAGCTGTGCAGCTGGCAGATTAGAAGACCTGAAACATGTCCAGAACATAAACAGGTTGTATTCATGGAAAAAACAGGCTCAGCAGGTCAGTCGTGGCAGCACGAGGTTTGCACACCGTCCACTTGGGAACAGTTTTGGATTTAACTGAGCAAATCGATACGAGCCTCCTATTGGATAATTACTGCACGGGCGATTTATCGTTCAGCTGCAACAAGTTCTTTAACCCCAACTGGTGCAATGAGTCGCTTCTCATTTCTTAAACAACCATGTGTAAAGACGCATCGCGTGGTCGTGGAAAAGATGTCAGTCTGTTTGAGAAGGGTCAAATCACTGGCATCAAGCAGAGAAAACATCTAAGGAGATTGTAGAAACTACTAAAATTGGGTTAAGAACTGTCCAACGCTTTATTAAAAACTGGAAGGATAGTGGGGACCCATCGTCTTCGAGGAAGAAAAGGCTTCAATTTGCTCTAGGGAGCATAAAGATTGGACTCTGGAGCAATGGGAGAAGGTCATGTGGTCTGATGAGTCCAGATTGACCCAGTTCCAGAGTGATGCACCCATCATGTGTAGTGTCTAGTCATCAGTGCAAGATGTTGGTGAAAAATTAATGCAACACTGGATGGAAATAGATCTTGTGACATTGCAGAAGTTTATTGAAACAATGAAACAGAGAATGCATGATGTAATCCAAGATAAAGGCGGCCCAACGAAATATTAGTGTGACCTGTTTTTGACCAGGCCGTGTACGTAGTTTTGGAAAAAATGGTCACATGTGGATAAGACCTTAGATTTTCTTTGTGAGTTTGAGTCGAATAGGAGGAAGTTTTATTTCTCATTACTGATGTACACACCGTACACAGATTATTATAAATATATAGTTTACAATATTATATTAAATCCTTTTTTGAGTGCTGCTCAAGTTGTAACAAAAGGTTGTTTATTAATTTTTTTCTTGTTTACTTGTCCTGTTTTTATTTTCTTTATTTGAAAAACAAATACAAGTGTATATACTTTGCAAAGTTGAAAAACTTTTGATCAAACCTTTTTTTTTTTTTAAACCTTTACATTGACATTTTTGATAAATATAAAGAGTGGCAGTGTGAAATAATTTATTTTTTAAATTTTCTGTTAAAAAGGCAGGAAATACAGCAAATCAGATGTTTTTATGGCCATAAAACCTTTAACATACAGGGAATTCATTTAAATACATTTACTACGATGTTCTGTGGCAAAGTTGCTGGTACTAAACTAAAATTCCATATTGGTTGATATTCTGTTTAAATGACTTGGATTAAAACATCCCATTACTGTAAAGCACGGTGGTGGACGATTGATGATTTGGGCTTGTTTTGCAGCCATAGGACCTGGGCACCCAGCAGTCATGAAATCAGCCATGAACTCATCAGAAAAATCAGGGAGTAAAATCATAAACGTCTGGAAAAATAACAAGTTTGGTACAAGGGGATCCAAACTACAGACTCACGGGAGAAGGCAGTGGTTGGATACACGTTGGTGGATTTAATTTGTCACTCACCGATTCTGCATTTTAGTTCGGTTTTTGTTAAATAATGAAATGCTGTTAAAAAATATAAATATATAAATAAAGGCATCTGTTGTTAATCTCAGGCTTTATTTGCTCAATTTTAGGAGCTGGTGAAGACCAGATGATCTTTTTTATTATGTACTTATATGGAATACTTTAAGTTTTGAACAAGATGTGCTTGCTTTTTTTTTTTTTTTTTTTTTTAGCAAGACCATATTTAGAAGCACACTGAATGTAAAACAACTAAATGAATAAATGTAAATACTGGTATGCAAATGGGTTTTAGATGGTTGCATTAAAGGAACCCTGCAATTTTCTTTTGAAGCAGCAGAACAAGCCTTGGTGATAAAACTGATACAAAAATGATGTGCTAATCCAGCCATTTGTTCTTTACTGTGATTTGGTCACAGTTTATATCCTCCTGTGGGATGTTGAGATAAACCTGGTCACATGACAGTGACTGGATGATTACAGCATCCAGACATCCCACCACAGGCGTGTTTTATAGCATTTATAATGATGTGCATGAGTGTTGTTCATTAGTAGGCAGTAGAGTCGGAGGAGAAGAATGTCAGATGGAAGTTAAACAATAACGATGGTGGAAACTCTCGGCTCGCAGCTGCGGCTTGAAGACGATTAACCCCGTTTCACCCGCTTTCTTTCAACTAAACCCTGCTGGTTCTGTTTTAAAAGCCTGGAGCTGCTGCAAGAGTCTGAGAAAACAGCAAGATTTTTTTTTTTTTACAAAACAAAACAAAAATCAATGTTCCTTCAAATTAATGAGAATTTTAATCACTCAGTGGTCTAAGAACTTTTGTGTTTGCTGAGACATTTTTCATAAAGACGCACGTTAGTAGATGCGATGTATTTGGATCGTCTCAGAGCAGTGGCCCTCTCATCCTGCAACTGATGTTTGGTTGTCAGCATTAGTTACCATGGAGATACATGCCAGTCAAATATAAAAAAACAGAATCTGCAGTAGATTCCTGCTATCCTGATAAAATACTGAAATTTTGTTAATTGTAAAAAAATACATGTCATTTTTGCACAGCACTCCGGTTTATACAGTATACATAACTGAAAACTGTTATTTATTTATGATCACACTTTGTTCTATGTGGTTCATCAGGTCTAATTAAGATGAACAAATCTCATATTCTAAGAACAAATTTTCTGGTTTGTTAAATTGGGTGTTTGGTGCCACCTAGTGGCCACCATCTGCTACTGCAGCAGATCTGTCCGTTTTACATCAGTTTAAATTGATGAGCGACAGTCATTTTAGAAATGACCACATTAAGGAATAAATGCTAACTCACCGCAGCGTCAGAAACAGGATAAACATAGCGGAAACAAACTTGTTAAAACAAAGACGTGAGAAAAGCTTCACTTCCCATCAGATGAATTTCTTTGTTCAAGTGTCAGTTTTTACAGAACAACCGGACTGCACTGAATTTTACTTACGCAGAAAACTGGTTGTTTTGCGAAGTTTAAAAAGGATCAAAACTAAAAGAATAATTTATTTAAATGGCATTTACTTTTGACAAATCAGAAAGTAATAAAATATCAGCTTTTAAGAGAACAATGATTGAAGGAATCAGCCTCGCATCTCAAACGCCAGCAGTTTTTTTTTTTTCACGTCTCTTTAGTCCCAACAGAGTCGCTGCCACTACAGCTCCTCTTCCTCTTCCATCTGTCTCCATCCGCTGATTCATTATGGTATCCATCAGTCCGGCCTTCGTCGCTCCTTTGGACAGAAATAGGTGGCATCTCTGGGAAGCTCTGACCCGGCCCCAGCACCTGTCTGACAGTCACGTTCACCCTGGAGCTCTGGATGTACCTGGAGCATACGGCCCAGTCTTCCTCAGCTACAGCTTCCAGCATGCTGCCCTCCTGCAGGGACGAGGCAGAACTAAAGTCTTCCAGAACAGCTGCGCGCTCCTGCGGCGCTGGGACGATGCGAGGGACGGCGTGGTAAAGCAGCCGGCTCGGCCCCGACATCAACATCACGTCCCCACTGTGTATGAACATGGCAGTGGGGGGGTCCTGTTTGCGAGGGCCACCCAGGAGGAAAATGGCAGACTGTCCAAAACTGTTCAAACACAACAGCGATGAGAACCTTCTCAAAATCAAGTAAACTGACCCATCAGAACAAATAAAAGCAGCTCCTCTCACCTGAGCGACAGCAGAGGCCAAGAGTGATCAAGCTCCGACTCGTCCACGTGGATCCCCAGAGACGAATCGGAGCGGTAGTAGTTTAGGATCGCAGCCTCGGAGCTGAATCCTGGAAACCCGCAGGCAGCTGTTATCCTGAAGGAGAGCGCGTGGAGATCCGACGGGAACGGAGTGAAATGATTGGCAGAGTACGTCTGTGAATGGAGCAAGGACAAAAAGTAAAATTTGGGGAAATAAATACAAAAAGAACAGCCCAAAAAGGTTCATGTTATAGTGCCTTAAAAAAAAACAAATGTACAAAAAAATGAAATTCATCGCATGGCACTTTTTTCTCTTCAACATTTATTATCGAGGCTCCTTGCTCACCTTAGTGTCCCAGTTGTAATGATATCCCAGAGTGACCCAGCGCAGTTTCTCCAGGAGGGTCTTTGCTTGTCTCTTTTCAGAAGACGCAAACCTGGAGTGTTTTTCCAGGCAGGTCATTGAGTGTCAGTGGACAAACCGAGGAGCTTATTAGAACCCTGCGCTGACTTCACTGCAGATTTCAAACTTCATGCCATCATAATCCCTGAAATTTGACTTTCAATACATGCAAACCGCCTCAAAGAGCTTGTTTTTATACAACCGCATCTGTTAGGTGCCAATGAAAACGATACACTGAGATAATAAGCTGTAAACATTTTAGTAATGAGTCCCACCTGAGGACTTGTGCGCTCCTGCCCCAGATGTCCTGCGTGTCAGACAGAGGCATGTGCATGTCCAGGTTACACACGTTCGGTTTCTGAGGATACGTCTTCAAACACTGTCTAACCCAATAAGCCTGGGAGCCTCGCAGGAAAGGATTGGAGATAAAGATGAATCCTAAACAGAAAACACTGTTTTTAAATGGGTGCAACATGTGTAACGTGATAAAACATGATCTGACTGAGAACCGAGTGACAAGTTAAAGGACATAAGTAGAAAAATAGTAGTAGTTTTCTGGTGTGTGAATGTGAGATTATTATTTTCCGGTTGTCCTTTTTGCAGGACAACTGAACATCTTTAGGCACGCATAAGAACAAATCTTTCTGAAAACTAGTCGTTTTATTGTCCAACTGTGGTTCACTTATCCCTAAAAAAAATTCCACATCTTCAATGTTTATCTATCTTCTATTCCTACCTGGGTATCCCTGTAGGCTGAAGGCTCTCCAGTCTCTGATGGGCTTCAGTCCAACACTGACAGCATCCCCATCCCTCACAGCAGCTGGGTTCAGTTTGACTGGAACTATCTGACAGTTTCACACAGACATTTAGCATCAGTGTGTTTGTCACAATTAAAACACACAATTATTTGATTTCAAGTATTTCAGTTCTGTACAAACATACGGATGCGAGGATTTTATCACTGTTTACATCGAGTTGATCAGACTTTGTTTAGCAAAGCCAAACACTTCATCATTGCTCTCATAAAAGGCCAAACATGTTTTTGGTTTAGTTGGGACATCATAAACAGCAGATTATTGTTATTTTAATTAGTATTACTTTCAGTTAATGACTCCTTTGTGTTTCTGACCTTTTCACCTGCTGCTCCGCTGCAGAAATCAGTAACATCCCTAAAATCTGGTGGAAGATCTCTCCTTTTATAAAACTTAAAGATTTTTCTGAACGCATCCTCACTGTTGTCCAGGACGGAGGCCGCCATCTTGGCCATGACGTAACTGTCCTTTCAAACCCGATCTTTTCCGGAAAACTTTTTTTTTTTTTTTTTTTTATTTACCCTTTATTTATACTTGAACTTATTTAATAAAAAATAAATAACATTTAATTTTTAGTTATTTGTTGAACTAAAAAGAAAGAAAAAGGACAACCGAGGTTGCGTCTTTTTTTTTTTTAAATCTTGTCTGCCAGTTTACGCATGCGCAAATTTACGTCATAGGTCAAAGTAAGTGAAGGACGAAAGATGGCAGCCCCCACAAGGAAGTTCTTCGAGATTTTTGTGTCTAAAGTACCATGGACTGTAGCCAACAGTAAGTCCTTTTTATTAATAAAATTGTTACGCGTATGCTTTATTTTCAATAAAAATGTGTCCGTAGAACAAAATGTAGTTTAACCTTTGATTTGAGCTTTTGTTCAGTGTTCGATGAGAGACACGCGTGACGTGAAAACGGTTCAGGTTGATTTTTAAGCAACAGAATCAAGACGCTTGAAATATTTAGCGATTCAAACATTTAGTGGAATTACATAGAAGGAATCTGGATTGCCTTAGATGAGGTCCAGTATAAAAACCACAAAGGTTAACTGGTCATATCCAGCCCAGTCCATTTAAAATAATTAACATTGATTATATTCGACATGTTTAAGATATGAAAGTCTCACGAATTGCACAATTTGTTTAAAAAAAAAAAAACATTTTAAGGAGTAATCCGGTCACAAAACTTGTAGAACAGCATCAGGAACGTTGTCATTTTGTACGATCGTTGTATTAATTAGTACTTGTGTAAAACATCTGGTAGTTTATACTAATGAACCATCATTTTTGTGTCATGAACTCAGTTTTAATCCTTGACCTGGTTCTGTTTGTTTTTCAGAGGAGCTAAAGGAGTATTTTGGTCAGTTTGGCCAAGTAAAGAAGTGTGTCCTTACTTTTGTAAGTTTTCACGCAGTTTAAACACAATGAACGAATGCTGACAAAGTCAAGCACCCGATTCAATTAATTCAATTAAAAATGTAAAGCAAAACAATTTAAATACTTAATGTATAAGTATATTTATTGCAAGGTCTACACAGTACCATTTTAAATGAACCCTTGTTTTTTTTTCCTCCAACGGATGCTGTTTGACAGCGGTGAACATAAGGTTTTATTCTTCTTTTGTGTTGAACCAGGACAAAGAGACGGGCTTCCACAAAGGATTCTGCTGGATCCGCTTCTCATCCGAGAAGGGGGTGACCAATGTACTTGAGAAGGACACTCATGTTCTAGAGGGCGCAAAGGTAAAATTAACCCTTCATGCACGGACTTATAAGGATCAGAGTCTTCACTTATACGGATGAAGTTGAACTAAAATTCTTTATTTCTGTATCTTCAAACTTTTCAACCCGTCTGGAATCATTAAAAGCTCATTTTCATCCAGTCATTGCTTCATTTATCGGATGATGTTCTCTGATTTCAGCTTGAGATTAAGCAGAACACCCATCCACTTGCAGGGCAGAGGTCCTACAGAGATGCTGACTTTGACTGAAGCTTGGTGGTCCGGCTGGGTGAAAGAGTCACTGCGGTTGCGTTCATTCCTTCTGCCTCAGCTGCTTTGTTTTGCTCAGACCAGTCTGACACATTTACTGTATAAATATGTTTTCACCTCTCAAAGAGTTCTGTATTGTTTTTTTCTGTAGTGTCACACCTCAGCTTCAAAACATGTCAAAAACAACTTGTAAATTCTACAGTTTCCTGTATGGTAATAAAGCCAATGCCTAACTCTGTTATTTTACTTTAATGAACTTTTATTTTGCAGTTCAGTTACCCTGCACTTTATGAATCAGGACCATGTATGGACACTAAAAGTGGACAACTTAAGACCACAAGGAGATAATTCTGGGTTTCTCCAGGCAGTGTTGTAGTCAAGACCACCTAACCCAATACCAAGTCAAGACCAGGTGTACCGAGACAGGACCAAGACTTTTGGGGTCCGAAACCAAGACCGAGGAAGGGCGAGACCAAGACATCAAGTCTTGGAGCTCAATCTTTTCACAGATTATCTCGTCTTATACTGTCACAACAACATAGTGACAGTTTTAACAAATATATAAAATGTAACTTTATAAAATATATATATAAAAGTTACATACTGCAACTTTTTTAAGTTTGCTTTTGAATGAATATATCGGCTTTTATAAATTTTTAAAGCTACAAAACAAATTAGACATTCAGTGGTTTTTGCACAATAATTTTCATGTCATGTGACCCAGTAACACAACTTATGTTAAACTACGTTACTAGACCTGACCGACGAGGCACCCTCATTTCGCATTTTAATGCATTTTCTAATTTTACACAATTGTTCAAATAAAATTGAAACCGTCCAAACCGAGCGGAAAAGGCATGTAAAGAAAATGAAAAGTGTTATCATCTCTTAAAAGAGCTAATGAAAGATGATAAAAATTATTCACAAGTAAAATCACAGCTGAATGAGTTAACACATCTGTTAGAGGACATCAATGTATTGCATGAATCTCTGCTGCCTTTAATTCCGCTCGATGAGAAAGATGAACAAAATACATGGTTTTCAAGCATCGCTAAATACAACAAAGGGTTTATTGAGGATGCTCAAATATGGCTTTCTGGAACAAACAAATGCTCAAGCAGGTCATTATCTGACATTTTGCAGCCAAAGGAAACTCCCATCAGGAGGAGAAGTGGAGGTTCAAGAACAAATGGAGCCTCAGTTATCTGCCAATCTCCAGCATGACATTCAAGATTATGTGTTGCCATCTGACAGTGTTTCAAATCAAGGAAGCAGGTCAAGCTCTAAAGTATCATCAACTTCATCTGCACGTCTAAAGGCAGAAGCTGAAATGGCTGCCTTGCTCACACGTCAAAATATGCTCGAAGCAAAGCATGCAATTGAAGAACAAGAGGAGCAACTGAGGAAAAGGAAGGAACGGTTTCATCTGGAAGCAGAAATAGCTGCAACTGCTGCAAAAGTGAATGTGCTAAAAACTGGATCTGCAGTGCAAAGCTCAACTTCACAGAAATCCAATGGAATGGAATCATATTTTAAAATAAAAGGAAATGCTGTTGTGACTCTTAATGCAAATACTTTTGTTCCACAAAGAGAAATACAGTAAATGAAAATGCAGAGCTTCAAGTAAAAACAGTGCAACATAATGTGACGAAGAAAAGGTCGACACCTCTTCTTGGACCTTCTCATCCTGCAAGCAGAACAATATCAAATGTGCCTCTGCAGCAAGCTGGTCACTTAGCAACCAATGAAAATCTGTTATCCATCATGGAGAAACAAAATTAATGAACTTGCATGTTGGTTCGTCAACAAAGTCTCTCTTCGCTACCTAAAAGAGAAATTCAACCTTTTGATGGCAATCCGCTTCACTTTCAGGCTTTTATGCGCTCATTTGAACAGGTCATTGACTCAAAGACCAGTGATCCTGAAGATTGCCTGCATTACCTCGCGCAGTACACCAGTGGGCAGCCCAATGAACTGGTCAAAAGCTGTCAACATATGTCTGATGGTGGTGGATATGTAAAAGCAAAGACTATGCTGTATGAGCACTTTGGAAATGGTCATGTTGTTGCATCTGCTTATCTGAATAAAGTTCATTCATGGCCATCGATTAAATCAGAAGATGGAAAAGCTCTTCAGGCATATTGTTTGTCCTTACGTGGATGTTGTAACGCTATGGAGGAGGTTCATGATCTTTCTGAATTAAACACACCTGCTAATATGCTTGCTATGACCAAAAGATTGCCATACAAATTAAAAGATAAATGGCGAACAGTAGCATGTGACATCCAGGAGAAGCATCATCGAAGAGCAACATTTATTGACATTGTTTGCTTCATTGAACGTCAAGTCAAAATTACTACAGATCCTGTATTTGGAAACCTAAGTGATGCTCCATTAATAAATTCATCAGCCAAGAACAACGATGGAGGGAAACGTTTTTCTCGCCCAAGAACTACAGGAAGTAGTTTTGGTATCACTACCTCTGCTGTTGAGAGAAATAATCCATCAGAGGCACAAGACATTCGGACTGATGTGAAGATTTGTTTGTTTTGCAAAGGTGGTCATAAACTGGAGTTATGCTCTTTGCTCGAAAAGAGATCTCATAATGACAAGATTTCATTTCTTAGGAGAAATGGCGTCTGTTTTGGTTGCCTGCGTACAGGGCACATCAGCAAAGAATGCAGAAAACGCCTCTCATGTAAAATCTGTGGTTTCAGACATGCAAGCATACTCCATATCCATAACAAGAAAGAGAATGAAGTTCAACTTGATGCTGAAGCAGTGAAATCTCCTGTCACAGTTCAGACTAGTGGTCTTACTGGGGCCGGTGAACAGGACTGCAAGCTTGCCATTGTACCTGTCAAGGTGAAATCAAAGAAAGGTAGACAAACACTGGAAACGTATGCCTTTTTGGACCAAGGGAGTTCAGCATCCTTTTGTACAGTGGGTCTTTTGGATAAGCTGAATCTCACTGGGAGAAAAACAAAGATTCTCTTGCACACCATGGGACAAGAGAAAGTCGTGGACAGCTTCATTGTACCTGAACGTGAAATTGCCGGATTGGACAGTGACATGTATTATGACATGCCTGAACTCTTCACTCAGCACAGAATGCCTGTAGACCTGGGTAACATCCCAAAGCAACAAGACCTGGCTATTTGGCCACATTTGAAGCGTGTTCATTTACCAGAGATCAAAGCACAGGTGGAGCTTTTGATTGGCATGAATATGCCCAGAGCTCTAGAACATTTGGAGGTCATCAAGCGTGAAGGTAATGGACCATTTGCCATTAAAACTGTGCTTGGCTGGACAGTGAATGGGCCACTTGACCGAGAATGTTGTAAAAGACCAAGTTGTCTGTCAACAGTCATCATGAAGAGAATTTCTGCAAAGGAAATTACGTGACGCACATGAGGAAATTCAGCGTTTAAAAACTCAATGTCAACAGCTAAAGGACGAAAAAGAAGAGCCCGAAATTTTAACGGTTGTCGTGGATAATGTCAGAGCTAAAAATATGGACCTCACAGAGCAGCTAATAGAATTCCATGAGGAAAACAAAGAACTTTCAAAACAATTGGCCATTGCTGCAACTGACCTCGGCTGTGCTGAAGATAAAATCAAGACAGTGGAAGATGAATGTAAAAAGTTGACAGATGCTTCTGAGAAAAAATGCTGTAAAATAGAAAAACTAGAAGCACGGACGTCAGGTGGCTAAGCAGAGGTAAATTCCTGGACAGATTCAGTGAGCTGTTGCCTGAGATCAGGGATTTTCTGAAGCTCTCAGATCATGGTGAACATTCAAAACTAGAGGACACCCAGTGGCTTTTGGATTTAGCCTTCCTCACAGATCTCACCAGCCTGCTCAATGAACTGAATTTGGAGCTTCAGGGAAAGGACAAAAACATAATCCACATGATCAGTTCTGTGAGCACCTTCAAAAGCAGGCTGCAACTGCTCACAAGTCGGCTGCAACGCAGGGACCTGCGAAACCTCCCACACATGGAGGCAGAGCTACAGCGCCAAGGGAAAGAGGTCCCACAACTGGACAGTGCACACTATTCTAAGCAGGTTCAGAGCATCTCAGCAGAATTTGAGAGACGATTTACTGACTTTTCCTCCATCGAGCCTGTTACCAGCTACATGTGTTATCCTTTTGGAAATGTTGATGTGGATGGCATTGTGTCCAAATTGGTGTCCGTGTTTCAGCTGGACAGCTCTGGTGTTGAAAATGAGGTGTTGAGTCTGCAAAATGACATTGGGATCAAATCCAGAGCATCACCTGGCGTGGATGGAGAGTTCTGGAGTCTGCTGTCAGAAGAAAAATATCCTAACATCCGAAGATGTGCTTTGAACTTAACAGCACTTTTTGGATCTACCTCCCTGTGTGAGTCTGCTTTTTCACACATGAAAATCATCAAGTCCAAAAACAGATCCACAATGAATGATGATCATCTGGAGACCTGCCTGCGCCTCGCAACCACCTCATACTGCCCATCTTATGAGACCCTGGCCTCCTCCTCTCAGTGTCAGAAGTCCCACTAAGGTAGAGACACATTTATTTTATACAGCTTGCATAAAAAGTTGTCTCCTATAGACACATCACGTTCTGTTTTATTTACTTTAAAGAAGTGAGGAGTAGGGATTGATGAAAAATTATGTTTGTTGATACAGAGACTGGACGAGTAACTCTCGGCAAATTGCAGACTTCAAAAGTAGCTCTTGGTTCAAAAAAGGTTGGGCACCCCTGGTGTACATGTTACGGGCATGCAATAAACAGACCCGGGCTCATGAAGCGTGTCGATTATCTTTATTAAGACAAATACGAAACATTACATGGTGTCAGAGTATCGCAAACTGCACGACCGCTGGAGATTACAAAATGGATTCGTCCGGAGTTCCCGCACCGCAGATGGACTGGGATGCAGTTAACCCCCCCGAAGCCTGGCAGGACTTCGTCCAGCACGCAAAGCTAATGTTTAGCGGTCTGCTAAAAGACAAGTCGGAAGACGTCCTGTGCAGCTATCTTCTCCTGTGGATAGGAAAACGAGGCAGAAATATTTGTAACACATGGCAGTTGACCAGTGATGAAGCTAAGAAGCTAAAAACCTATTTTGAACGGTTTGAACAGCATCTCATGCCAAAGACGAACACCATTTTTGCCAGATATAAGTTTTATGAAAGAGTCCAAGAGGAAGGGGAGTCATTCGAACACTTTGTGACAGAGTTAAAGCTA